CCCCCCTCGATCCACCGGTTCCCCTCTAGGAGGTTCTAATTGGAGCAGGAGAAGAGGACGGGCGCTACATAAACGCGCCTATTTGTCCATTATTCCAGATTCCCTTTGTCTTCGCTAATGAAACAATGAGTCTGCGCCGTAATTGCGTCACAGCCAGACCAAACCGGCCTCCCCTCACCACCTCTCCCCGTCTTTGCCGCCAACCAACTCTTCCTCCATGCCGCCGCCGCCGCCGCCGCCGTTGTCGTCGTCGTCGTCGTCATTCACCTCCTCGCCTTCCTCCCTTCTGTATCTTTCATTGTTGTTGTATGTACATACTACTGTCTCGTAAAGAGAGGGAGAAGGAGAGAGCTGTGCCCACGCTCAGCCTCCCTGCTCCTCTCGTAATCCGCACAATGCACGCCAGGTTGCTTCCCGGACTCTCTGTGATCGAGGATCCTTCGCGAGAGTCGGGATATTAATGACGAGAGAAAGAGGGGAAGAGAGAGAGAGAGAGGAGAGGAAAGAGGGAGGATGAAGAAGCGCCGGGGTTTGTGCGCGACCGTTCCGGATGTTTGCCGAGGTGTGCGACAGACAGGTGCGACGTCGGATTGAGTCGCCGATTTGCTCTTTGAATTAAACGAGTCGGACACGGGGAAATTCGATGGTTACATTTCGAAGGAATACTTTATGAGCTGAATATCGTGACAGTCATTGATAACCGAGGCTCTGATATACTGAAGAAAAAGTAATTGTGATATTTGTATAACTATACAATTACATAGATAAATAATTATTATAAATCACGATGAAAAAAATACATTTTTTATTTAATTCTGTAACGTTAGTGATAATAATCTTGTATGCATACTGCCCTTTTTCGAGTTAGAACAAGCAGAGAATATGATCGGGCCTAAAAATAATTATAATTTTAGTTGGATCAACTATTTTGTTCTCTCTGTCTACTACCACGTTCTATTAAGTTACATGTAGTCGACGTTACGCATTGCCGCGCTAGAATGTAATTAATTTTTGATTACAGCCAATGCGGCTCTTGTTAATTTTCGGAGATTAGATTTCCAGAGTATTGTACTAATATTATTTATAATTAATTGCGCTTGAAAAAGAAATTGCCTATGAAGGATCAATCAGACGAGACAAATAATGCAAATATGCGCCAGGAATCATATTTATCCTTTTGGTAATTCAGTCATTATCATTGAATTCAATCATTACTTTTGGTGATTCAATCGTCACTTGAGCTTCTCACTCGAAAACAAGAAAAAGAATGAGTTTTGGAACGATAACTGCGGTCAGTTGAATTAAACAAAAAATAGGTAACATCCTCTTACCACTGAACGTCATGAGACGTATATCGAAAGGATCGGCGCATCGCTATTTATCGGCAATTGTCAGCGATTTGTTCGAAAACCCGACGGAAATGCGCGGAAAAGGCGGCCGCGAGAAATCAAAAAGCCGCCATTGGTAACCAGATATCCTGCAGATGTTCCGGCGGGATTTTAGGCGGGAATCGCTGTTACTGCAGGGATTCTCAGCGCGAATTACAGCGGCGCGAGTAAATACGGCCGTGAGGACGGTAGCCAGGAGTACAAAGTAATCCCGGAGATTACCGGCTTACTCTGTCAGAAGATTACGTCAGGTCGAGGGTGTCAGCGCGCCCCTTGGGGTCCGAGGGCCTTCCACCTCTCCCTCTCCTGCCCCCTTTGCCTTGCCGCCCTTTCCGATCTACACCCCTCTGTACACACTCTTGCTCTTACGGCAACATTACGCCACCGCGCGACCAGATAATCGATCATCCCCGCGATCCCCGCGCGACTCTTTGCAGATTTTTCCCTTTTTCTTCCTCATTTTTATTCAATCACCGCACGAAGCCCAAATATTTCGCACGTCCCTCTCCTACACCGCGTATCTTCACGGACAAAATACAATATACGGGAGACCGGGTCTAGTTGGCCCAAGAGCTACGACGTCCGACATGTGCTTTGTTTATATATTTGTCATAATAAAGAATGAACTGTCGATAAAATCTATTTTGTTCAGAAACAAAGTAAATTTCGCTATAAAAGTAAGTTTAACTGCAACTTCACGTTGCTGCACGGTTGTCTTTGGTTATTGCAAAACAAAATATAAAAAACAAAATAGTCAACAAAATCGTGGCGGACATTAATACGTGGAACAAGGCTGCGTCTGTCACGTTTGTACAGTTGTATAGTCAGTCGCAACGATTACTCGTCTGAGAAGTTGTAACTTTGAAATTCGGAAATATGAGACATCTAGCCCCGGTCTCCCCTATCTCGGTAATTGCGTCGAAATTTCGTCTCGGATTGCGGAATCCGGTTTACGCGCACTTTCGCGAAATAATCATTTCGATACTAATGGAAATTAATTATGAAGGGGGCTAACGCGTTCTACCGTGTCCGACCTATGAAAATGTCGCGTGGAAAACACACGGGCGCGCTCGCTGAGAAATGTGTTCCCGGGATTTGCCGTAATATTTAACGCTTGACGGAAGCGAGTGAAAAGAAAAATAGAAAGAAAAAAGGGAGATATTACCGGGTTGGCGCGCGTAATTTTCTCATCGTATTAAAACGCGGAATCCAATCTCAATGCGCTGAGACGCATTAAAAGATTAAGGCCGGTACTGCCAATGCACGAACGCGGGCATGCGAACGTTCTCTGAAGTTTTAATGCACGTGCTTTCACGTTATCGAATAAACGTGATTATACACAACGTGATTAGCATACTTTTAAGTAACCCGTTTTAATATATCCTTAAATATAATGCGCCGCGCTCTCGCTCTCCGCGCTTCTCCTCCTCCTCCTCCTCCACCTCTCTGCAAATTTATTCGCGCGTTGCACCTTGCGCGCTCTATAATAAATCTTTTTATAATTTAACGAGATTACAAACCCATTGTGTCGGATTATAGTAAGCTACTTCGCGCGCAGGCAACGTTGAAAGCAAAGTAAGAGCAAGCGAAAAAGGAAAGGTGTCATTATTAATAACAATTAAGATTAATACGCAATCTCGCGCAGAAGCTTCGAGCTTGCACTGTTTGCGCGGGGTTTTTAGTCTGCACGATCGAAAGAGAAGAACGTCCGCGAATCGGACAGACCTGCGATAGGGTCGATTCTAATAAAATTTTGGATTAAACTCCGACAAACAAACTCGGCGCACCGGTAATACCGGTCGTTTTGCGTCTCGCTGTCTCACCTGAACTCGGGCCTCCGTGAGATTAATCTTCATCGCCAGGTCTTCTCGCGTGAAAACGTCCGGATAGTGAGTCTGCGCGAAGGCGGACTCGAGCTCCTCCAATTGCTGGAGGGTGAAAGTCGTCCTGTTCCTTCGTTGTTTCCTTCTCACGAAGGAATCCTCGCCGACTCCGTGCAGTGCCGGGTGATAGGCGGAGTAGCTGGTGTCTGCAACACACAGAAGACGCGGAGGGATGAATGAAGAGTTGAGCGTTCCTGTCGTTTGTGTGTCGGAAAACGTTAACTGTGATCCTCTTAATTCGCGCGGGGGTTTTAATTCAAGTATCTCTTGAAAGAGTGAGAGCGATGAAAGTTGACGGTCGCGCGATTATAAATCGACAACTCGAGTCGAAATTTTGATCCTACTTTCCGTCTTATTGTTCCATTCAACACCTATTTTGATACTCTGAAACCTACATTAACCTCTTTTCTATCTAACCTACCTAGGTCAATCTTGATCCTACTTTTCAGCCTCACTATTCTATTCAGATTTAATATAATCTTGGTTGTGTATTATTAATCTTCAATTAAGCAAGAATATCAATATTGTTGGTTATATATGAGAAAATGGTTGTGCTAATTTCACTGTATTCGTCTTGTTTGTAGACTAATAATATATAACCAAGAATATTAATATTATCATATTCTATGAGAAAATGATTGTGTTAATTTAACTATATTCGCGTATTTATTGAAGATTAATTTATCTTCGTTCAACGCCACATATAAATTCATTTTAACATTAATTTTACTTTTAAAACGTCAACAATAAAGATATTCTCCAAAAAAGAATATTCTTTTTTTCTAGGTAGGGTATAATGGAAAATACGGAAATAAGCTGCACTTTTTCTAATAATTGTTAAATAATACGTTTCAGCATCTGAGTGTATGCACATAAGTCACTTTAGATATAGATTGCCTTTGAGAATGACTACAGAAACGTACTGTTTTAGCAATTATTGGAGAAATTACAGTTTATAGCCATCTTCTTCGTATGACCATCATACCCGAGTTTACTCTGTAACGAAGCCGCAATCGGCGACTATCACGAGAGAAGCAGCGTGCCGATATGGAAAAACATGAGATATCATCGATCGGAAAAAATACCTGAGCTGCGGGACGAATCGATGCAACGGCGGCGGAGTACGACGAAGTTTGGCCTTTTAATTCCCGACAAATTCGAATTCGCGAAGTACCGCGCGGAACTTGGCTGGGTGCTCCGCATATTTGACTGTGCTTGACTAGGGTTTGAGGGAGTCTCGAGTTTGAGAAACTCGATAACTTCGGAAAACTTCCGAGTTACTGACAATCTCGTGGAATTTTCAAATTTATACGCGTAAGTAAGCGTTATCGCGCGGGATAAAGTGATCAACGTGGTTAAATAGCGGCTTTCTTCGCCCACGGCACGGCTATCAATTTATTAGTGCGCGAGCGAATTTGTTCTCGGACGAAAATAAAAGGAAAGGCTCGCACGACGATTTCGTCGTGATGCACGCGTGGTGCTCGTTCGTTGAGGATTCGTTGAGGATTTGAACAAAAATTCCTTCACATACGATTGTTTCGATAAACGATTCAATTTTGCCCCTATCGCGCTCTATTACGGTCTTAAAACGCGCGCACACACACATACACTCTCTCTTTTTCCCGCGACTTCAATTACGCGAACGGCGGATCGCGTTAATTAAAAATGTTCAGAATACCGTGGCCGGCTCCGATCGCTCGCTCACTAACACTCACACGCACCTGCACGAAGCACCGAAAAGTGAAACGCCGATATCAAGGCATATCGGTCGGATACGCGCGCATACAATGACGAGACAACGTACACGCGCGCGCGCGCGAGGTGGGAGCAGACGTTACGAAAGCCCGGAACCGCTCATCAATGATGCAGAGCAATCAGCGCAATTAATTACCGCGGCGCTAAGCCGGAGCTTAGCGAAAAACACAAATTAATTTCCTAAGCTCATAAAAATTCATGCCACTCTCTCTCCGCCGCCTGGCGGCCTTCTCTCTTTCTCTCCCTTCCTGTCTCTCTTTCTCTGTCCCTCTGCTTGTCTCTCTCCCTCCCTTTCTCTCGCACCCTTTCTCTCTCTCTCTCTCTCTCTCTCTCTCTCTCTCTCTCTCTCTCTCTCTCTCTCTCTCTCTCTCTCTCTCTCTCTCTCTCTCTCTCTCTCTCTCTCTCTCTCTCTCTCTCTCTCTCTCTCTCTCTCTCTCTCTCTCTCTCTCTCTCTCTCTCTCTCTCTCTCTCTCTCTCTCTCTCTCTCTCTCTCTCTCTCTCTCTCTCTCTCTCTCTCTCTCTCTCTCTCTCTCTCTCTCTCTCTCTCTCTCTCTCTCTCTCTCTCTCTCTCTCTCTCTCTCTCTCTCTCTCTCTCTCTCTCTCTCTCTCTCTCTCTCTCTCTCTCTCTCTCTCTCTCTCTCTCTCTCTCTCTCATCCTCCCGGGAGAGAATGATAACGGTGACGGAGATAAAGCGAGATAGGGGAAGTGAAAGAGAAAGAGAGAGACAACGACGGACGTTGCACTGGTGTTGCACCATCAACTGCGACCGTTGCATTCGTGTATAGTTGCATCCACAGGGACGCATCGAGACTTCGTCGACGACGCCACTGAATTTTCATAACTATCGCGGACGCAATTATACCGTCGAACGAGCGTGTGGTTCTCTCTTTTTCTCCTTCCCTCTTTCTCGTTCCTGCGGCCGTTACGAGATCCGCCGTATCGTTTGCAAAATTAATATTAACGAGGATTCGCGGGGATTTGCGCTCTAAGCCGCACGCGAAAATAAACGCCCGAGTCTTCTCGCGGTCCGTCCGCTGATATTTTATCAACGCCCCTAACGACTTTGTCGCCGACTCGCGAGAGCGCGGCTCAAACTTCCGTTTCCCGTGCGCAATTGTCGCGCGCGGATCTCGAATGCCCGCTCGCTGCGCGAATTGTGTCATTCTGCAAAATGCAGAACACGCGTTACACCTCTTTCGCATCTCGACGCATGGTCGGTTGGAAAAGCGCGTTCGACTGTGGGACCCGCGGACTTCGAGTTCCGTCTCTCTATGATCCGAAGGTGTAACGTAATGTCACCGATTGAATTCACCTTTGCGATTTTCACCTTAATTCATAAAATGACACCTTTTGTGATTTCAAATTACGCGAAAAGAATTTCTTTAAAGGCAGGAGCGCTTTTTAGGTTTCTTCGAGTAGGATTTCACTCAAAAGGAAGTGCCATTCGAATCACTCAAAATAAAATGACTGTTCGCTCATACAAAGTGAGTTATTTTACACTTTCGTAATTTCAAATTACATGAAGAAAATTCCACTCGAAAAGTGGAGTGTCAGCCGAGGCATTCTAACTCGAGAGATTTCCTACTCGTATCAAGTGGATTTTTGCTCTGAGTCATCTGATAAATATTTGTATTTGAAGCTGAAAAGTGAATCTGTGATATTTTCCCCGCCTCATAGAAAGAAGTTCGCTCTAATCGAGTGAAACATTTAGTTGTACGAATTACAAATCAAGTTTCAGTTAAATGTTGATTCTTGTGACACCGCATGGCACTGTTTTGACTATCGCTTCCTCCCATTTTCGGTGAGATTTCACCCGGAGAAATTGAATTTTTATTTGGTCATCGCTCTCTCGACGCTCCTTCCACGCGTGATCTCGTGCGATCATAACGAAATAAATGCGATAATGACACACGATAGTTCCGCGACGCGTATCGCGTTGCGAGGGTTATTTTCTCATTTCTCATTTCTCAGTAAGCAACGAGCATCGTTATTGCCAGGGCAAAGAGAAAGAGAACGAAGGTGGAGAAGCGAATCGGACGACGACCGCGGCGGCTAAATAAATTTGCCGGTGCCCCAAACTGAAATCCACTCAAGATCTTAGATTAGAGTCGGGTCGAAGTAAAGCCCGGATCCAGACAACTCGTACAACTCATCGAGAGTCGGTCTGATCCAATTTATTAGTATACCCCGGCTGCGGAAGCGAGAGAAAGAGAGAGAGAGAGAGAGAGAGAGGGACACCAAGTCTCCGCCGGGCGACTTTTGCGTTCGGGACGCACGCGAGCTCGACTTCTTTTCACGACACGCATCATCGTCGTTGACGTCCGCTTTGTTTAGCACACGACAGAAGAGCACAAAGGAGGGTGGCCGACCTCTTTCTTTCTTGCTTGTGCGACAGGGAAACAGAGAGTCGTTAATTCGCGCGTGTCAACTCCTAATGAAACGTAAAATCGCTCGTCGAACACGAGCACCGACGTACGTTCACGATTTGCGTCACGTGTTCCTCGAAATCTTGAGGTCGGATTTAGTGAACTCTTCAATTAACATAATCAAGAATAATACAGGGCCAATAAGAGCCAAATGCAAGGTATTGGTGTGTAAAGAAATAAATGATTTTTATTAGGCAGACGAGGTACATGAGGACGAGGACCTAGTAAAAATTCTTTATTTCTTTACACACCATCACCTTGTGTTATCGGCTGTTATTGGCTCTATATTATTCTTGATTTTTAATCTCAGAGCTTTTTGATTTTATTGTAACATCATTAATTTCACTATAGCGATGGAAGACATTGTATCTCAACTGAAGACATCGAATTTTGATTGCTGTCCTTAATTTTCGTGAGACCTTCGTTTGCAGCAATGCAAACTTGTCTCATTGTACACTCCCGATGGCGTGATGGCATAACGTTACTTCGAACATTTTCATACAGAAAAATATGCGTTTAAACAAGCGTTACATGTTTCAAATATTTTGTAAGTCTTTACAAATATCTATCATAGATTCGTCACGAGCATCCAATTTGTTCAAAACACATTTTGACTCCTAGTGAGTTTCGCATTTCAATCAAGAACATTAAATTAAAAGAGAAATTTGGCTTGCCATCAGAGAATGCTTTTTACTCGCGGATAATGCCTGTACGAATCTGGGAATATCAATTACAGAAATATTCACCAATACCACTGGCACACATGGCACTACATGGCAGCGTCAAATCAATGTCGTTTAATTCTGAATTGAATTTTTCGCGTCGATTTGACGTTTTGTCCGCTTCTTATTCTTTCTCCCCCTCGATACATTTTCACATGCGCGCACACGCGGCGCCGGGAGGGATGGGACGGGACAATTCAAAATTATTTTAAACGCGCGTCACGCCGCCGCATGATCGTCCGTATCCGTTGCACTCTGCGGCTAGGCTCCGTCACTGGCGGGACGGCGGGGGGGCGCGGGGCCGACGCGCCACGGTACCCGTGGAAAAACTACACGTAGAACGAAATCTAATGACACCCCGACCGTTACTAATGACACTAACGAGGTAGTTAGATGTTAGAGCGAATGTCGGTGGGTCTGGACCGTGGGCCGAGTGAACCCACTTACCGACTTATCACGTAGTTACCTAATCTGTTTATCCCAACGGGGGGCAGGGGGGGCACCGAGGGGAGGGCCCGCACAGCTACGGCAGCCGGGGTCGGAGGGGAGTCAACGGTGGAGACGGGGACGGCGCGGGAGCAATCGGGAGCTGGAAGGGTGCCCGGACGTCCCTGAGGACACCCGTTCTCTCCGAGCCGCCCCCGGCCCCCGCGGCCTCCACCACGACGCCCCGTTCGATCATCTACCGGAGAGACCGGACTGCCTCCCACATTTATGAGCCTCAATGGGCGTTGTATTTTAAAGAGAATAAAGAGAACAGCGCGCCCGCGGCTCCTCGCGCTTCCCACGTTCTTGGATTTATCGCGCGGATTGGTTGCGCGCGCGCGTGCCGCCGATTGACGTTCGACCGACGATCGTGTCCCGCGTGTCTCAGGGTTGCGAAGTGCCGGCGAAAGTGCATGTGGTAATTAACACGTCGGGTGCCATCATCGACGACCGACGCGCTGTGATATCAATAATCTCATTCCAAGTCTCAAATATGAAATTCCTCTCGTTTTGCTTAAACCACCGTATCTTTCTTTAAGCTCATGTTAACATTTATTTAACTTTGTTGAAAAAATTAAAGAAAATTAAGAAAATAAAATTGGGAGAAATAAAAACGAATGAAAAATTAGCGCTAAGAGGATACCGAGGTAAGTTGGCAAAAACAATTGTTTTTCTCTATTTTCTATTTTTCTTTACTCCGTTTTAATTCTATTTTCTTAGTTTTCTTTAATTTTTCAATAAAGTTATATAAATGTTAATATAGCGTGTGCAATAAATACTGACGCATAACACATACACACTACCGCTCTATCCTTTCTGGAACCGATTCTCCGATAGAGACGATTCGCGGTCGCCGTCGTCGTCGTGGGTCGTCATACGCGGGTGCGAGGCGTTAACGATGAATCTCGCGTCGTTTCCGCGATTAAGCTCGAGCCGGTCGGCGATTGAGTCTCGCGGCCTCAACGGATCGCGTTATACGCGAGCGAAATTCGTCCGCGGGAATGGGATGCGACTTGGAAAACGATCGGTGAATAGGCAAACTGCCGTCAAAGTTCTGGGCAGCGACTCCGGCACTGCCGGCGGGACGCGGTTTAACTGGAAGTTGGCTCGAAGTGCAAATTAAGTTTAGCGGCCGTCCAGTTTGTAGCGTCCACTTTGCGTAACTCGGTCTAGTCGGTAATGTAACTTCATCGATGTGTTCCGCTAGAGCAAGTGCCGGCACAATCAGTCTGCCCGCCTCACTTCCCTCTCCTCCGCCTTTCCCTCCTCCATGTACCGCTACTCGCGCGCCCGACTCGTCTCGCTCTTTCTCCGTGTCCCTCGAGCGCGCCGTTCCCGTCGTCGTATTTTCCACCCGCGCGCGACTTCTTCCCCAGCTTGATCATCGCATCAGGTCATTGTTGCAAATTATCGTCCCGCAAGCCGTAGCTCCGAAAGATCAGCATCGTCAATTGTCCCTGGGAGAGGGAGACGGACGCGAGTCGTCGGTCTGAGATTGGAAAAGTTAAGCTCGCGCGAATGGGAAAATCAAGATTTCGCGGCTGACTCGATTTATGCGCATGTGTACATCAGCGCTCCCACTTTGTAGTTTCACGCGATGTGTGACAGTTGCTCGCGGAGATCTCGCACGGCTGTTTCCGATTCCACCGAGTGCCGCGCGCGATATTAATATTACCGTGAGTCCCGTGAGGAATTTCCTCGTTGGACAACGCTTCCAAGGAAAAAATTCTTCCACCTCTGGGAACCGCGACTGAACCTGGAAATCCCGCGTGAAATCGCACGATTTTACACGCGTAGATTCTTGCTTTTTTTTTTTCTTTCACGGAGCGTATCAATCGAGACACGCGAAAACTCGAAGGTCGACGAGGGACCATGGGGGATGGCGGAAAGTCGGGAGGAAGAGTGGGGTCGAGGCAAAAATATCGGCGCTCGTGGCCGCAGGAGGAAGAATCGAATTTTTACTTACAGGGGTGCGTCGGGGCGAAAGGATACTCCAGGGACGGCGGTAATCGCGGCGCCGGGAGGCCCGGGGGGCAGTGGTAGCAGAACATGCCTCCGGCCCTGGCCACCGCGCCGCCCCCCGGCCCGCCACCCCCTCCCGCACCGGTCGGCACCTGCGGTTGACTCGACGGCTGTTGTTGCTGTTGCTGCTGCTGCTGTTGCTGATGATGCTGGTGGTGGTGGTTATTGTTCGACTGGTGGGCGTGGACCGAGCCAATCTGCAACCACACACACGTGCGCCGGTTGATTTTATGATCTTGTCGGCGGTGAAAAATGAAAAGAGTGAGGGGGGGAGATAGAACTGTCGCGATCAGCGCTTTTTTCGCGGTCGCTCGTTTTTCGCAGGGATGAAAAATTCGATATTTCCTGCCGCTGGAGAAACAAGACGTCGTCAGTCGTAATCGTGGACAATTATCAGCGAACTCGATTTCGTCCGTCGAATCGGACGACAAACAGATCAGATACACTTCCAATTGTCTCGCGCGTTTTTATCTCCGTTCCTTTCGCCGGTGAAATTTCTCCACCGACTGGTACCCGGTTAGTATCGCGATAGACCCCTTCTCTGCCCTCTCCTCCCCCCAGCCCCATCCCCCGGGTAAGCAGAGAGAGCATCGAAGCCACTTCCGATTTCGTCGAGCTCACGGCGACGCGCGGATTTTCGAAAGCGGGGTGAAACGTGATTAAGAGGGAGCGCGACAGCGGCGTGCTGCAGGCAGGGTGGTTACGAGGGGGCGGGAGGCGCGGGGGGTGCGGATGGGTGGCCGATTACGCCAATCCCCATTAGAGGGATTGTAAACTCGCGTAAATAAATAATGTATGTATCGGCGAGAGAGGAGCCGGCACAGGGTGAGAGAGCGGGAGAGAGAGCGTGCGAGAGCACGAGAGAGAAACAGAGAGAGAGAGAGAGAGAGAGAGAGAGAGAGAGAGGAGAGCGAGAGAGAACGAGCGACGCGGCGCATAGAGGGCTCTTTGCCTAAGCAGGCATCGGTCGTGGAACTTAATAAACGGTGGAGTTATCAATTTATAATGGGTTGGCATGTCGCGCGCATGCTCGTGCCTACGGGGCCCGCCGCCCGTCGTTTCTCTCGTTATATAACGGCGTGCACGCGAGTGGCTTTAGAGAACCGGTATACACTAACTATACCCGGTATCCCGGCTCTCTCGCTCGTTCGTTCTCTCCCTCTCTCTCCTCCCCTCTCTCTCTCTCTCTCTCTCTCTCTCTCTCTCTCTCTCTCT